GAACAAGACTGTATTGCTAGCATCTTAAACAGTATCGTTTTTTTGCTTCATGAATAATAATAATGACTATTGCTGGCATATACAGTAACACTTTAAACTTTGCAAAATGCTTTATGTAAATTTTCTAATTTGAACCTTGAAACAATCTTGTGAGGTGGGTACTGAAAATAAAGTTACCAAATTTTGGAGGCGAGGAAACAGACTCAAGTTAAAAGACTTGTCCATGGTCTCATAACAAGTGTTAGAAAGGGTATTCAAACCCAGCTCTTCTTGACTCTAGCACTCTATTCTCTGTGCCATGCTACAAATCATCCCTTTATCTTTCTTTCAAACATCAATTTTTTTAAAGTGACATTTCTAGTGAAATTTTAGGAGTTAAGGTTTTTTGCTGCTGTTGTATTGAAAAAGCTGCATGTTTTAGAAAATGGAAATGAGACTTTCAAAGGTAATAGAGGTTATGAATTTTGGTGGTAGAATAGTACTGAGATAATTGCATAATCCCAATTTATTTTATTGTTTTAGAGAGAAGATATTGAAGAAATTATATGCAAAGGGAAGGGGGAAGGAAAAGGGTAAGGTATTCCCTGGTGGGGAACCTGCAGCCTCGAGGCCACATGTAGCCCCACCCCTGAAAGCATTTATATAGCACCTACTATGTGCTGGGGGCTTGCTAAGCAGTTTACAGAATATTCTCATTTGATCTTCACAACAACCCTGTGAGTTAGGTGCTGTTATTATCCTCATTTTACAGTTGAAACTGAGGCAAATAGAAGTTAAGTGATATGCCCAAGGTTACACAGCTAGTAAGTATCTGAGGCCAGATTTTAACTTGGGTCCTCCTGGCTCAGCGCTCTACCTTGCTTTGGCAACAGTTTTATTATATTTTAACTGCACTATTTGTGGTTTTTAAATGGTAGCTTTGGCATAACAGGTTGTGACTTGGCATCACAATATAGTCACCCAAAGAGAATCAGGCAGGTGTCATCAACTCTTGATTATTAATAAATAACTGGTTTTCTAGTTTAGTGTTACCCAGGTCTCATGTTTTCCCCAACTTCTTGTCTTTTGATCATTTGTTCACTTGGTATTTACACCAAAAAACAAGGGTGCATTTTTTTTCTTGTCAGTATCTTTTAAAAAGGTCAGAAAGAGAACAGTGACTTACATGTAATAGATGCTTAAAAACGTTTGTTTTCACAGGGGTGACATTAGTGCCTCTATTGAATTATTCATTGTGACATATGTTAATTTACTCTTCACCTCTATGTAAGCATAAACTATCAAGAATTTACCTTTTAAGACTTTTTATATTTGTGCCCTGTTTATTATACAGTGTTGCTTTGCCTACATTAGTTATGGAAAATTTTAATAATAATAATAATAATGATAATAATACACTGATGATTTATACTCAGTGTTCTAATATAAAATCTGATTATGTTGACTAAATGTGAGCATTTTAATTTGAGGTCATGGAAATCCAGTGCAGTAATAGGTGCATAGTATTTTGAGGTTTACAAAGCACAGATTCCAATATAAACTCCTTTCTGCCCTTAGTGATTTTAACATGTTTTGTTTACAGTTTGTGTCAAAGATGTCACGTGTGTTCCTATTGATATTTGAACCTGTTGGCACCAAAGTACAAGCATTTCCATCAAATGTGTGCATTACTGCAGAAGGCAAAATTGTATGTCATTTCATTAGAGATTGGCTGTACCTTCCCATTTTGCATTATCAGTACTCAAATACTATTACATATTACTGTCTTATTCACTTAATAAATTTCACATGTGCTTGTGTTTTCTTTCTAGTTAGAGTGTAAGCTCCTTGTAGGTAGGAAATACAGCTTATTGTACTTTTGTATCCCGTAGCACCTGTTACAGTGCTTTGCATGTATGGTATAAATGGTGTAGTAATATTTCACTTATCAGTTACTCAGATGTCTTTAGCAGAGTTAGCTGGCTACAACAGCCTTGAACCAAGAGGTGGTACAGAAGTTTTCACATCTTGGGAGTATGGTGAGAAGAACTGAACATATGATGAAAAAAGTTTGTTCATTGTTCAAAAGCTGGATTCTTCCTCTGACCAAAAGTGGCTGTAAGTCAGGCCTCAAAGTCAAGCAGCTCAGGAGATGCAGGAAAAAAAAAGAAAAGTAAAGAGAAATAAGTGGGAGTTGAGGGCTGGAAGATGACTTACTGATGATAGAGAACAGGAATGGCTGAAGGCAGAAGGAGGAGAGCAGAACATTTTGGGATGTTCTGTGTAAGGGTAAGAAACCCTGCAAGCATTGGTGGCCCTTGAGATTATTTCTGTGTTGCAAATAGTCCCACAGTGAAAGCACAGCCGCCAGAATAGTACAGCAGTTTTGGTAGATGTTTAGTGTAGGGTAAACTAAATTGTACTAATTTCAATCATTTAGTGAGTATTTTTCAAATGTTTGTCAGGTACACTGTGCTCAACTCTCAGGTTACAACGTCCAGTTGAACAAAAGTTTATTAAAGCAACTGCTATATTACACATGGTGGGAAGACACTGTGTTGTAATAGAGAGTCAGCCTTAGAGTTAGGAAGACTTAACCATATGCAAGTTGCTGAATTTCTTAGTATCCCAGATAGCTCTCCAAGACCGTAAGTTACACTGAAGTTTCTGATCTTATGCTCTTATAAGACCCCCCCCCCCACCAAACAATGTGTATACTTATAGCGGGGGGGTGTGTGTGTGTATGTTTATGGGACAGAGGGAGGGAGAAAGAATGAGAGAGATTAAACATTCCTTGCTCTCAAGGAACTTATTCTACTATTTAAAAACAAAACAAAACATATTTAATTCCCTTGAAGGGAATTCTTTTATTGAGATAGCACAGCACCAGAGTCATGGTATCCAGTATAGTATAGCAGCTTCTGGTGTTCGCTACCATAAGCAAGCCATGCCAGTAGCAGAAAAACAGAGAAAAATGTGTGTTGTAAAAGCCATCCAATGGTAGAGATTACAAGCTTCCTCTAATGAAAGGTAAAGAATAAAAGTGTTGACTAAATTAGTGCTAACCTTAACAAAAAATAAAGGTCTGAAAATGGCATGAAAAATTGCAAATAGAAATATTTTGATGGATCAGTACAGTATTGATTTAGCCATGTTGCATGACATTGCAGTTCAAAAAAATTACCCGGTCTAAGTTTTTGCCATTAAAGGTAATTTAAATTAAGTTGGGTGTTTTGGTAGCCCACACTTAACCTCAGAGTTGTGTGAAAACTGCCTTGGGAACTTTAAAGCATTATATAAATGGGAATTGTTATTACCAAATTAGAACACCTAGACTGTTATTTTGTGGGTGATTTTCCATGAAAATAGGTACACTTATCTCTAATCCAAAAGAATTTTTTTAATGAGTTTTAACAGGTACTTGAGCTATTTGTATTTTTTGAACAGTGACTTTGGCATATCCAACTGTGACTTGGTATTAGAAATTTAGTTGCATCTAGTTTAAAGAAAAGTAAATCATGAAACTGCAGGACAGTTTTGTGATATTTTCAGAGAACTAATTTCTGAACACAGTCTATCCAGAGAATAGTTTTATAGTATAATAAAACTGATCTCTTTGGGTGATGCCCCTTAGTGCAGTGTTAAGAACAATTGTCGTGTGCATATGCTGCAGCTGCCCATAAACTGAAGGCTTTAGTGATTTGAAATTGAATTGTCCTAGAGCTTTCAAAAGTGTCACCTGCTTACCAATGGCTTATAGACCTAATACCCACACAGTTTTTTCCCTGGATTGGTTCTGTCATATTTTTGTACCAGCAGTGAAAGAACATTTCAGAAACATAGCTTACCCAGGGCAGCAGAGCTGTACTGTTGTTAGTTATAGACCTCATTCTGAAGAAGGTTTAGGGTCTGGTTATATTTTTACTATCATTCTCTTCCTCTCCCCCATTCCTCCAGTGTTACCTTATTGATCTCAGCTCTGGAACCAGGTGTTGATTAGAATATGAAATGTTATTGAAAAAGAGATTTCATGAGAAAGTCAATCAATCATGTAGGCAGAAAGGACTTTCAATGCCGTATCTTCCTGTGAGCCTAAGATGCAATTAGATTTTTGTATGTTTGTGCCTTTAAAGTCAAAGGAGGATGTGAAGAAAATTGCAGTATGTTTGCCAAGGTTTCTTATGATAGGGCTGCCTCTCTACACCCAATCAATAGACTTAATTCACTTGAGATAGAAAGGTATATCCTGCTAAGGAGATAACTATTGTCTTTTGTGTTGGTGATGCAGAAATCATGAACAATGTTTCTGTTCTCCTGATGAGTCAAACACTGATGATAAAACTGAAGAAGCTTTTTTGGAGGGCAGGAAAACTCCATGGGAAAAGGTCATTTTAACTGTTAATTCTATAATAAATTCTGTAGAAAATCAGCCATATGACATTGCCTTAGAAATGTCTTTCTTTCCACTTTTATGAGAAAGTAAAATGACCAAATTATGAGGTCACTCTTTTCTTTTTAAAAAGATAATCTAAGTATAGTCAACCCCATGTCCTGTACCATCACACACATTATATTACATATATTACAGATATGTTTACATTAGCGTAACTGATGTTCTCAAGAAAATTAAATTTTGTTCAGTATGCATTGTTTACCAAGGCAGAGGATGTTGTTAGCATATCAGTATTTACATAAAATAATTAAAAATTAAATTAAAACATTTTATTGTTTAAAGAGTTAATCTTTATCCTTTGCCATACTGTGGTATATGATTTAAACTGTGGGATATGGATTTGTCTCTCATGTTCCTTTTCTTTTCACTGGTATTCCGTTGGTTTAAAGATGTAGTTTGAAGCATAATTATGTTTTTGTTCCTTGAAAATCTTTACTTGATTGTATAATAAATATTACTTTCTTCATGACCACCATGACAGTTATTTGCTTGGCTGGAATTATTCTTGTGAGGCAGCAAATTACCAGGATTTCGTTTGAAATTTTAAAACTGTTTTTTTTAACTATAGTTTTATTAGCTCCCTGGGAGTGAGTTACATGATGCTGTGTACCGAAAATTACCCAAATGTCTTGGCTTTCTCTTTCCTGGATGAGCTTCAGAAGGAATTCATCAGTACTTACAACATGATGAAGACAAACACTGCTGTCAGACCATACTGTTTCATTGAATTTGGTGAGTGCCTCATAGTTTTTGTTTGTTTTCGCTATATCTTATTCTTTTCCAGAAACTAAGTTAGATGATCATATAGTTTTTCAGCTGATTCTTAAAAACTGGCAAATCCATGGGCTGTTCAGATGCTTTTATATAGAGTATAATAACTTGGCATAAATAAAATACTTGAAAATAGCCATGATTTCATTGGTCCCAGTACTTCTGTCACCACAATAGTTCATCAGCATCCCCTCTGCCCTTAAAGTGTAGTTTTCATGAATTACTATAGTCAAAAAATGTCATTACCTGTTGGCCAGCTTTCTGGCGACAAGCCTTTTTTAATTAATTTTTAATTTAGTTTGGTTTTTGGGCAATAGCAGTTGGCTGGTACTGAGCCTGCCCTCAAAGCCTTTCCAAATTGGTAGGCCGTGGAACTGGCTGTAGCTTGTACTCTGTGATCAAGGCCTTGATGAGCTCAGAGTTACCTTGCAGGTCATTATGCTATTGGGGGAGGGCCTGGCAAATATTTTAATAATTTGTTAGTTAGCATATTAATAAATGATAGTCATGTTATATCTAATTAAAATATTCAGTAGGGTTAAGTGTGTAGGAAATGTGAAGGGGATAGAATGCTCTAATTGGTTTAGAGAATTATTCTCTGAAGTCATTAATATGAGATATTCACAAACTAAGAATTCAGTTTTCTATTTGTTAAGTATTCATCTTATTTGCTTAATGTAGAGGAAAAAGGAGAAGAAAATTACTTGTATAATCCTGCAGCTAAGTTATATAGATTTTAAAGCCAAGTGCCAAATAGTAAAAAATAAATTCCACGTAGAATACATTTAGTAAATGGCTTTCATTGATTTCATTAATATGTGTAGTAGTTTCATAAATGTGTTTTTTAGAGACAGCAGTAAAGGAGAGTTTAAGAATCTATATTCTAATATGCTATGGGCAATAGATTAGTATTAAATAGTCAATTTGAAAAATCTTGCTATATGTAAAATGTCTGTTTTTAAATATTAAAATTAATTTTACAGTGGAAGTGATTATGTAATCATAGCTGGTAAACATTGACAGATTCAACATTTCATTAGAGAAGGACCTTTTTTTTAATTTGAAGAGTTCTGAAAGAGAGTGATGAAAGGAGTGTTGTTCTCTATAATCACTATTAAAATAGATAAAATTTTAATACCTGTGTAGTGTCACAGTTGTTTCTGCATCATCTTAAATGATTTAATTACCAAGTGTGTCTTTGAATTATCTTTAAATTTTGTATAGATAACTTCATTCAGAGGACCAAGCAGCGATATAACAATCCCAGGTCTCTTTCAACAAAGATAAATCTTTCTGACATGCAGACTGAAATCAAGCTGAGACCGGCGTATCAGGTTTCCATGTGTGAACTGGGATCAACCAATGGATTCACATCTTCATTTTCTGTGGAATATAGAAGTGCTAGTAAGATTTCTTCTGGTGAGTTTTGAATTTTAATTATTTCATTCCTCTTAGACATTTGGTATGGATAACATTTCTGCTTTATCTGGTAATTGAAGTGCCTTTTAAAATGAATTGCTTTATTCTCATGCTTTAAACCAGGTATGTGGAAGTACTACAAAAGTAGAAAGTGTAATTTTTTTCCTGTAACTTGGAGAGTATAAACATAGGTAAGATTTAAAACAAGGGATTTATCTACAAAAAAAAAATTCTCAGATCTCTTCGCTATTAAATAACTATTAAGTGATTTCTTTTTTAAAAACCCCAAAAGAATAGTAATTTTGTAACTTGTTGAGAAGAATGTGAATTGCTTCTGCCTGTTGATGATTTTCCAGTTGGACTTTAGGGCAAGATTCTTGACTGTTAGAGAAAACTCAAATCAGCAAATATTTATTGCCACGTATGAAGCGCCCTTGCTGAGGCAACTCTAGAAACAAAGATAAGTGAAATATATTACCTTCCCACTGGAAGCTCCCAGTGTAGTGGGAGGGGAGTGGCATTGTAATGGTTAAGAGAGTAGCGCTAGTAGCAGTAATGCTTCCACAAGGCAGAATACAATCACTGGCATAAGAGAGGGACAAATTGCAAGGAGAGGTTAGGGCCAGGTTTCACGGAGGGAGCAGCTTTTGACATTGACCGTGAAGAAAAGGTATGATTTTGACTTGGGGAATAGTGTGCTGAGGACATTTCAGGTAATTAGAACAGCATAATAAGAGCATAGATGCAGGGGGTGTGAGGCATAGATGGAGAATAAGTGATTAAGTCCTGTTTGGCATGGCAAGAGCATAGGGCACTTTTAGAAAAGTAGTGGAAGATAAGGCTTAGAAAGGTTAGAGTTATATTTTGGAGAAAATATTCAAATAAATTTATGCATCTGTGTTTATGAGAATGAAGTATTGGATAAAGAGCTGGCTTCAGAAGCAGGTAGACCTAAGTTCAAGTCCTACCTCTGAAATATACTGCTTTGTGACCCTGGGCCAGTCACTTCATCTTTTCAGTGACCCAGACAGTGGATTATGGGTGTAGAATACCCCATATAGTATCATACTTTCTGTTGGTTTTGCCGAAATGTTTCTTTTTTTCTTTTTTATTATAAGGGATAGCTTATAGATAAGGGTAGGGAAGGAGAGGGGGTGAATTGGAAAATGAAGATAAAAACAAGAGATAGCAATAAAATTAAAAAAAACATTAAGACTACAAATTGCCAAACAGTTGTAGATCTACATTGCTAAAGGTAATTTCCTCACCAGGAGAATGAAATCACAGGTCCTACATTTCCTTCCCTGCCCCTTCCTTATGCATTATAATAATGGATATTTTGATGTAGTACTTTAGATTTCTAAAATCCCTTTTTTTTAAAAAACAACAGCTCTTTTGGAAAATACCTTAGAAGCTATTTATTTTATCAGATTGATCAAATGAGATGATATTTATAAAGTATTTACCACAGTGCCTGGCATGTAGTAGGTGTTATATAAATCCTTATTCCCTTCACTTCTATTCAAGTAGTAGTCCATGCATGAATCACTTCTCTTCTGGCCTCTGCTTGACCATTTTCAATAACCAGAAGCTGCATTTTACAAGGCAAACTGTTTCATTTGTTGGACATCTCTCATTATTAGAAAATTCTTTCTTATGTTGAGCCAAAATCTGTTTCATTTGAGCTTCTACCCAGTTGTCTTCAGACTGTCTTCCAGAGTAATACAGAAGAAATTCACTTCCCCTTTCATGTGATAGCCCCTCAGATATCTTTGGACTGGTAATCATGTTCCCTTGACTCTTTTCTTAATTAGAATAAGCATCCCTGTCTTCTTCAGCAGCTCCTTATGTAACGTAGTTTCCTTTGGTCTTTTGTTCAGGTCTCTTGAAATACTTTTGAATCTTGATCTAAAACTCAGAAATGTAAAGGTGGAGATGTGGAAAAGTTTGTAGAAGTAGAATCAACAGGTAACCCATGAATTTTTGAAGGGAATGTCCTTCAAAGTCAAGATAGCAAAGTCAAGAATATGAGATACTGGTCAAAATAGGGTCATTGAAAGAAAGAGTGAGATCAGAAGAAGCAGATGTAAGGGAAAAGTTGGTTTTGACTGTTTATGGTGACAGTGTCAGTGGGAGAAGTAAGAGAGATTCTGGAAGTATTTGGAGATTTGATCTAGAACTTGGAAGTGTTCATAGCTAGAGAGTGTTTAGGAAGCCATATGCATAAGCATGATTCTTGAAGTTATGAGAATGGATGAGATTGTCAAGGGAGAGGAATACATATGGAAAAAAAAGGTATAAAAACAAGAACCTTAAGGAACACCAACTCAAGACATTGGGGAAAAGTTAAGGAACGAGTGACATAGGAGTGATAAAGATAGAGGAGAAGAATCAGGAAGAAAGTGAAATATATGAAGCAAAGGGAAGAGAGTGTTCCCAAAAGAAGGATGTGGTCAGCAGAGCTGGATGCTGCAGAGAGCTTAAGGAATATGATGGCTGAATAACAGTTCCTGGATTTGGTGATTAGTGATCTTTGAAAGAGCAGTTTCTTTTTTTTTTTTTAACATATTTTTTCCAGTTACATGTAAAGACAATTTTTAACATTCTTTTTTTTGCGAAATTTTGAGTTCCAATTTTCTCCCTCCTTCCCCCTGTTCCTAAAATGCTAAAGAATTTGATATAGGTTATAAATGTGCAATCATGTAAAGCATATTTCCATATTACTCATCTTGTGAAAGAAGAAACAGACCAAAAGAAAAAAAAACACACAAAAAATGTAAGTGAAAATAGTATGCCTTGATCTGCATTCAGGCTCCATCAATTCTTTCTCTGGATGTGGGTAGCGTTTTCCATCATGAGTCCTTTGGAATTGTCTTGGATCATTGTATTGTTGAGGAAAGCTAAGTCATTTTCATAGTTGACCATTGCATAATGTTGCTGTACTGTGTACAGTTGTTTGCCTGGTTCTCCTCACTTCACTTTGCATCAGTTCATATAAGTCTTTCCAGGTTTTACTGAGAGCATCGTGCTCATCATTTCTTATAGCACAATAATATTCCATTATATTCATTTACTGCAACTTGTTCAGCCATGCCCCAATTAATGGAAATCCCCTTAATTCCTAATTCTTTGCCACTGCAAAAAGAGCTGGTAAAAGATTTTTATACATGTAGATCCTTTTCCCTTTTTATAATCTCTTTGGGATACACACCTGTAGTGGTATTGCTGGATCAAAAGGTATGCACAGTTTGATTGTTCTTTGGGCAGAGTTCCAAATTGTTCTCCAGGATGGTTGAATTAGTTTACAACTCCACCAACAGTGTGTTAGTGTCCCAATTTTCCCACATCCTCTCCAACATTTATCATTTTCTTTTTCTGTCATATTAGCCAGTCTAATAATTATGAGGTGATACCTCAGAGTTGCTTTAATTTGCATTTCTCTAATCAGTAGTGATTTAGAGCATTTTTTCATATGACTATAGGTAGCTTTGATTTTTTTCATCTGAATACTACCTGTTCATATCCTTTGACCATTTACCAGTTGGGGAATGACTTGTATTCTTACATGTTTGACTCAGTTCTCTATATATTTGAGAAATGAGGCCTTTATCAGAGACACTTACTGTAAAGATTGTTTTCCAGCTTTCTGCTTTCCTTCTAATCTTGGTTGCATTGGTTTTGTTTGTGCAAAACCTTTTTAATTTAAAATAATCAAAATTGTCCATTTTACATTTTGTAATGCTCTCTTTCTTGTTTGGTCAAAAATTCTTCCCTCCCTCCATAGATTTGACAGGTAAACTTTTCCTGCTTTCCTAATTTGCTTATGGTATTATCGTTTATGTCTAAATCGTGTACCCATTTTGACCTTATCTTGATAATATGGTGGAAGATGTTGATCTATACCTAGTTTCTGCCATACCCTTTTCGAATTTTCCCAGAAGTTGTTGTCAAATAGTGAGTTCTTTTCCCAGAAGGTGGGGTCTTTGGATTTATCAAACACTGGATTACAGTGGTCATTTACCACGATGTCTTGTGTACATAATCTATTCACTGATCTACCACTGTATTTCTTAGCCAGTGTCAGATAGTTTTGATGATTGCCACTTTATAATATACTTTGAGATCTGGGTTGGCTAGGCTATCTTCCTTAGCATTTTTTTTTCATTACTTTGATATTCTTGACCTTTTGTTCTTCCAGTTGGATTTTGTTATTATTTTTTCTAGTTCTGTGAAATAGTTTTTTTGGATGTTTGATTGGTACGGCACTGAATATGTAAATTAATTTAGATAGAAATGTCCATTTTATTTGTTGGCTTGGGCTATCCATGAGCAATTGATATTTTCCTATTTGTTTAGATCTGACTTTATTTGTGAGAAAAGTGTTTTGTAATTATGTTCATGTAGTTCTTGGATTTGTCTTGGCAGGTAGACTCCCAAGTGTTTTTGTATTGTCTACAGTTATTTTAGATTTTTTGCTGCTGAACTTTCTTGGTAGTAGAAATGCTGATGATTTATGTGGGTTTATTATATCCTACAACTTTTCTAAAGTTGTTAATTATTTCAAGTAGTTTCTTTAGTTGATTCTGTAGGAATCTCTAAGTATGCCATCATATTACCTGCAGAATGATAGTTTTGTTTCCTTATTGCCTATTCTAATACCTTCAATTTTTTTCTCTTCTCTTATTGCTATAGTTAATGTTTCTAGTACGATATTGGATAATAGTGGTGATAATGGACATCTTTGCTTTACCCTTGATCTTATTGGGAAGGCTTCTAGCTTATTCCCATTATAGATGTTTGCTGATGGTTTTAGATAGATACTACTTATGAAAGAGCAGTTTCAATGAAGTTTTGGCAATACTTTGGCAATAGGTTTTCAAGCATTAAGGAGAGACTAGGTGTTGTGGAAATGGAGGCATTTGGATTTAGATGACTTTTAAAAGAAGTTTGGAAGTGAAGAGAAAAGAGAGTATAGGACAGTAACTTAAATAAGATAGAGT